TGCTGTAGTTACCAGGTCACCCTATTTAAAGTGTGTTTGATGGGTAATGAAGTGTTTGAAAGGCAATTAAGATGAATATTGGGAAAGACCAGAATATCACAGTATTTTATCTCTGGCCTTACCTTCTTAAACTTGTTAATAATTTGAGGAAGATACACTGGCTATTTTCAGCTCTCCCTTGATGGATGAATTTCACACCCTGACACAAATGCTATGCCACCAGGGCTCGTTTCATGGAATGATAATGAAACTAAAATAAAAAATTACAAGAAAGTTACAACAAGATGGAATTTGGTAGTCTTTGTGGGGAATAAAGGAGTCTTGGCAGCACAATATTTTATATACTATGTCAGGCTCTTAAGCAAAAGGTTTGAAGTTTGTCTCCATCAGCTACTCTGTAGGGAAAGGATGAGGCAGTCTATTCCCATCAAATTTTGTAGCCTTAGAGACTTGATGGAAGATTACTATGAGCTGGAACCAAGCCAATGGCAGTAAGCCGACTTGTGTTGGGCATAGCAGATTTTTATTTATTTAGTAATTTATTTTTCTCACCAGCAAGAAGGCTTGATGGTAACTGGCTATTTTCACCCTGACTCTCTGGGCTTTTCTGTCATCATCTCGGGATGGCAGCTGAAAACATACAAGACAGAAGTAAGAGATTCCTGATAGCTCACGACAGCATGGACCAGTAAGATGGCTGCTTTATTCCCACAGCACAGAAGTCTGTGCGTTCCTAGATGCAAGGAAGGCTGGACAAACAAGTATTTCAGCTTTCTGGGCTTCTACAGCAAGGGCTGCCAGAGAAAATGGGACAGAGTGATGGGTGATGTGCCACATAAAAGGTTAAGACTTATATTAGAGTTAAAAAAAAGAAAATCATGATGTAGGTGTATTGTCAGAGATTGGTGTGGAAAATGCATGAAACTTTGCTGTAATTCAGATGATTCAGTGTAATGTTATTGCTAAAAGAGCTCATGTAATTAGTAATAAAAATTGTAATGTCCAAAGAAAAGGAAAGATTCCTTGGTGGAACCTATGAGTCCATATTTGAAGAACGGGCTTCCATTCTAGTGGTCATCTATAAGGAAGAATTTAGTCCAGAGAGAAGGAAATCTAGAAGGTGGCACGTTGGCTGGGCCATCTCCATCGGCCAACACACTGAAGGAGAATTGGACTCACACTGTAATTCTTCTGAAACATGACTAGCCTATGGGGTGGGGGGATGATGTTTGTTTGTTTTGCTTATACTCACCGTTGTCCTTGTTAGGTCCATCCTCTTGCCTATGATATAGCAGCCCTGTGAACACCAGATCTGAACCTTGCTCTGCACCAGCATCAAATCTCCTCCAGGCTCTAGCCCATTGTTACAGTCACTGTATCGGTCCAGCTTGTGGAGGGTTTTCTTCTATTTCTCTGACCCTCTACCTTTCTCAAAATGATGTGTTTTTCCAAGCATCCTCCTGAAAGAAAAGTAAAAAAGTAACTGAAAAAAGTGATGAAATGTCACCATCCTTTACCTCTAGGAGCAGCACCTTGGCTGCATTTCCTCCGAGGCAGGCTGGTTTGTTCTTTTGGCAGTCTGTGGACTATTCAGTACTCCACCATCACCACAACTCAGAGGCATTGATTTCTTTTTCTGTCATCATTATTTATTGTCTAACTTTCAAATGCATACTTACTAGAGAGCTGCTTTCAGTTACAAAGGGCTGTGACTGTGAAAGACTATCTGAAACATTTTGTGTTTAAGCAGCTTAGCAAAAGACTTGCAGGTAAATCTCAGTGCTCGTGAAAGAATTCATGTTACTTGTGAAGCAGAAGGCCGAAGACCTGAGGACCAGTTCAGAGGGCCTTCTTTTTACTCTGTAAGACTCTTATTAGGTGGGGTCGATTCCACTCCACCTCATAGTAACCCTGTGAAGGACAGATCTGAACCTGGTCGCATCCTGCACCATCTTCATGCTCTCTTGTCATGCTCCAGGCCTGGTGGTTACTATGTCAATCATGTATGTAGGGAATACATAACTGTGGGAATCCCAGAACACTTGATTGTGCTATGCAAAACCTATACTTGGACCAGTAGGCAGTCATCAGAACAGAGCAGAGAAATACTTACTGCATGGTTTAAAATCCAGAAGGGTGTATGCCAGGGGTTTGTCTCCATACCTTTTCAATTTATATGCAGAACAGATCATCTGGGATGCTGCGCTCTATGAGGAGATGTGTGGCATTAGGATTGGAGGAAGACTTATCAACAACCTGTGTTATGCAATTGATACAACCTTGCCTGCTGAAACGGAGGAGGACCTGAAGCGCTTCCTGCAGAAGGTCAAGGACTGCAGCCTTCAATATGGATTGAAGCTCAACATCAAGAAAACAAAGATTCTCACCACTGGGTCAATTGGCAGCAGCATGATAGATGGTGAAGAAATTGAGATTGTTAACAGCTTTAGTTTGCCTGGCTCCACAGTCAACACTCTTGGTACCAGGAGCTAGGAAATTAAAACGTGTATTGCATTGAAAAAGTCTGTTATCAGGGACATCTGCAGAGTACTGAAGAATAGTGATGTTAGTCTGGAGACTAAGGTGCACCTGATTCAGGCCATGGTCTTTGCAGTTACTTGCTTTGTATCAGAAAGCTGGACAATGACTAAGGATGGTAGAAAGATAATTGTTGCCTTTGAGCTGTGGTGTCGCAGAAGAGTATTGAGTATACTATGGACTACTAAGAGAACAAACAAGTTTGTTCTGGAGAGGGTACTACCAGGTTGCTCCTTGGAAGCAATGTTTCTGAAGCTCCATCTGACATACTTTGGGCTTGTTGTAAGGAGAGACCAGTCCTTGGGAAGGAACATTAGGTTTGGGAAGTTGGAGGGACAGCGCAAGAGAGGAAGACCCTCAGTGAGATAGATTGATTCAGAAACTGGGGTAATGGGGGTAGGTGTGTCAGAGACAATTAGGTTGGCTCCGGATAGAGCAGGGTTCAGGCTGTTTTACATAGGATCACTGTGATTCACAGGTGACTCAACAATACATAACAAGCTTTCAGAAGACAAACTTTGAGTTGGAGCTTAAATTTTGGTATGTACTTCATAGTAGATTTAACATATTTTACTTACCGAGTGTATTTGCTATAAATTACTACCTAACAAATTACTCCAGAACTTAGAGTTTAAAGCAAACAGTAAAAATAAGAAACATGTTACAAGGACTCTTGTCCTCACAAATTTTCTGGAGTTTGGAATCTGGGAATGGTGTAGCTAGAAGCCAAGAAAACAAATAGGTCTGTCTTGGCGAAGGTGAAACCAGTTTTCCTTGGAGGCTAGGGTTTTGAAGCTCTGTCTGATAGGAAGGCTTTGGGCATGTGGCCAGGAGAGACCATTCCTTGGAGAAATCATGTGTGGAAAGGTGGAGGGACAGTGCAGGAGAGGAAGACCCTGCATGAGATGGATTGATACAGTAACTGGGGCAGTGGGGGTTGGTGTGTTAGTCAGTGAGACTGGCTCAGGACAGGGCAGGCTTCAGAGGTGTTGTACATAGGGATGCTATGAGTTGCAGGTGGCTTGAGGGAACATAACAACAACAACAGAGGTTGTTGACTGAGGAGTTCTCACACAATTACATTGTTGGCTGAAACTGTGATCACCACTGGCTTGACTGGTTATCAGTGGCTGGAGAATGCTCTCTGAGCAGCGCCTGTGGTTCTGACCTGCTCCTGTGATGGTTCTGACATAGCTCTTTGGTAGCTGGCTGGAGTGAGATAAATAGGGCTGGGGTGAGGGAGTGATCATGATAGGATCTGGTCTTAGCTGGAAAGTAACCCGCCATCACTTCTGCCTTCTCCCTTTGGCCACATAGACCAACCTGAGTAACGCAGGTGAGGACTGAGCAAAGGTGTGACTGCCTGGGGGTGTGTGCGTGTGTGAGTGGGTTGAGGGCTGAGAGGGGATATCACTGGGGAGCTGTCTCTGAAGCTCTACACTGAGCTCTACCACTACACTGAGGTGAAGAAGCCTTGCTGAATTACATGGTTCAGGAGGCACAGTGAGGGGAAGAATACGTAGTTAGTGTATGGGTTTTAAACTTAGTGAGACTTATTTTAATATATATTCATAAGGAGGGGAAAAGTGTGAAGATAACATAAGCGCTAAACAAAATCTAGGGGAGCTCTAGTGGCCTGTGCTGCAATCCCAAAGGCATGTAGTTCAAACCCACCAGCTGCTCTGCGGGAGAAAGGTGGGCTGTCTTCTTCTGGATGATTAAACTGCTTCTGGAAACCACTGGAGGGTCAGCTACGGGTGGCTCTGACTCGACAGTACACAACAACAGCTACAACCATCGAGGGATCTCAGGCAGCGTAGTCCAGAGAGAGCTGTGCTGCTGATCTAAAGGCAGAGCGTCTCTGTGGGATAAAGGGGAAAGCCAGTCAGTTCTGACTCAGATGCAGTGAGTGTGAGTTGAGAAACATAATCCAGGACTGAGTAAATATTTTCTTATCTGACCATCTGCTTCCCTCCTCCTCCTCTTTCCCCACCTTTTAAGAAGAAAATGTGTCAGTCAGGGTTTTTATTTGTAGCTATCTCCGTTGGGTGCTGAGTGGTGGACCAAGGTTGGGGGAAGTCTGTACTTCCTTCTACTCGAGTAGATGCTGATCTGTGTTGTTATGTGAGATGTCTTTTCCTAAGTCATCATAGTTAGGTGAGCTCTGGTGGTCTATATGAACACTCTTGATCAGGAGCTCTGCTGGTCCAGTGGGTAAGGAGTTGCGCTGCCAACTCAAAGACAGGCTGTTTGAATCTGCCGCTGCTCCAGGGGAATCTCCTGTGCCATTTCTAGCCTCTTAAACCTGCCACAGACTCAGCTGTGAGTTGGATCTGACTCAGTGGCACTGAATGAATGAGTGAGTGACCAATGGGCTTCAGATGGGAGAGGTCCCTTTTAAATGCCGCCCTCTGCCTGTTTGCTGACTGAACTTCTTTGACTTTGTTTTGACAGATAAAAACCTGGACAATGCTGCAGAAGCTGCGGAGAAGTTTAAGTTAATCCAGGCAGCGTATGATGTGCTGAGTGATCCTCAGGAGAGAGCATGGTGAGCAGCACGGTGTTGGGAGCTCTGACTTGGTTAGAAGAACCATGAGGGGGGCGGTTTTAAAATGGCAATACCCTGCCTGGCTTTGGGTGTTGAAGAAGCATCTGTCACCTACTGTTCATTATGCAAAATCCAAAATTTGAGTAGGAAGGAACCTTAGAGAACTTTAGGAACCTTCCAGCTCTCTGATTTTTATCAGTGAACAGTTAGGCCCTGAGTTTGGCACTGTTATAATAAGGTAGAATTTTCATACTTAAAGTGCCTTGTTTTAAATGGAGTGCATGTGAACTGCATCTCAACATACTTTGGGCGTGTTGCTAGGAGAGGCTTTTCATTGGAGAGGGACATCATGCTTCGGAAGGTTGAGGGTCAGCAAAAGAGAGGAAGACCCTTAATCAGGTGGACTGACAAGGCGACTGCAGCTGTGGCTCAAATATGTCAGAGATTGTGAGGTTGGCACCGGACAGGACAGAGTTCAGGTCTACTGTTCTTAGGGTTGCTGTGAATTGTACTTGACATGGCACCTGACAACAGCAACACAGCAGATATAAGAGCTCTGCTGACGTAGTTTGAATCCACCAGCTGCTCTTCAGGAGGAAGATGGTCTTCTGTGCCATTTACGGCCTCTGGACAGCCACTGGAAGGTCAATTCTAAATTGATGGCAATGAGTTTTTTAATGGCAGATTTACTGTCAGATAAGAACAAAGTCGGCTTGTCCTTCAACACAAGTACACTGTTTTAATACAAGAATTGTAATATTTTCTGAACAATAGTAATAGTCTGTATGGAGGAATTGAGTTAAGTTTTTATATCGATGACAAATGGTTTGCAAATGATGCTCTGGTAATTTAACACTATTTTTCAAACAGAAGTCTCTGTGAGTGAAGCTCTTAGTTTTCTCTTCCTTAGTTAGTGCTTTGTTAATAGGAGTAGGCTTTCTGCCCTGACAAAAACATGTGAGATCTTGCTGCCGTGCAGAGCAGGTGGGTGTCTGGTGCCGCTGTCATGTCTCCTGTCTCTTCAGCAGCAGAGCTGGCTAGCAGGAGCGAGGCTGTAAGGAAAATTGTCTTTGCAAAGACAGAGTCAGAGAGACTCTCTTATCTACTTGAGAAATCGAAAGATCAAACCTTCAAAAATGTTGCCTTCCTGCCAGAACTCTGAGTCTTTCCTGACTTCCTCTGGCTCATTTGTGAATCTTGCAATGGAAGATGTTACCCTTTGTCTTGAAACTTCTTCCTGTTAATTCTTCTGTTCCCTGGATGTTCGTGACCAAGAACATGATTTTTCCAGTGTGGAAAATGCGGTTTTGAATTTTAGCATTACTGCTTTCCAGATTATCTGCAATGTTATTTGATAACTCAGTTTTTGACCTAGTACATGTGGTGATGATGTTGTGAGGTGCCATCGAGTCAGCTGCCTCAGAGCAAGGGTCTGAATTTCCCTGTTCTGTGCCATCCTTGTAGTGTTTGGCAAGCTCAAGCCCATTGTCGTGGTCACTGTTTGACTCCATCTTGTTGAAGGTCTTCCTGCCAAATAGGGATAATACTTATAAAATTATTACACGGAGTAAGCGAGCTGATGTGTATGCCCGCACCTAGTGCAGAGTACAGTGCTCAACGCTAGGTGGATATTGCTGACTCTGACTGTGGTTCTGGGAGGATGGAGGCTCTGTGTCACCAGCCTTACCTGTGATGCACCAAAAAGGACCAAGTGCAGAATTACAAGCGTAAAATCAACCAGCCTCTCTCTTTGTTACTGCTCTACTTTATCAGTTCTCCGTAGTCAGGCCTCTGGTCACAGAAATGTGTGTGTGTGGGGCTTTATTCTGGAGTATGCTGCTGAATTCCTAGATCCGGTACTGCCTGTCTTTGCAATGTTTCTTTCCTTTGGAAGTGCAGCTGCCTTCCTAGGAAAGAACTTGAAATTCCTTGGCTTATAGAGTTGCCCTATTCATGTCAATTAGCGGTTAATAACTCCTGGTTATTTAAGTTGCAGTTAGTAGTTTGAATCAGCAGTACTGAGAAGGGTGTTTGAGTGTTTTTATAGTGATATTTTCCTTAAATTGTGTTGATTGCCATGTAGACATGTTGACTATGATAATCAGTTGTCAGTTTCACCGTGCTTTTGAATCCTCACCTATCCTACACTCTTATTTCTCAGGTACGATAATCACAGAGAGGCTCTGCTTAAAGGCGGCCTTGACGGGGAGTATCAGGATGACAGCCTGGATTTGCTTCACTATTTCACTGTCACCTGTTATTCCGGTTATGGAGACGATGAAAAGGTAAGATCTCCCGCTCAGTTTCATCCCAAGCACATACAAAAGGATCCAAAACACAGAGAGGACTTTTAAAATCGTTCTTTTCTAGAAAGTACAAGCTTGTTTTCAAAAGTGAGATTTAAAAAATGGCCTTCATGTTTAAATTCATCATCTCATGAACAGCCAATTTGACTTCTTTTTTCTTTTTTTTCTTTTAAGTTGAGTGAAAGTTTACAAATCCTGTGGGTTTTCATTCAGATATTTTGTTTTCTAACAGTAATTATAGTTGATAATGCAATTCATTCATTACAGTGTCTGACCAGCCTCTTACTGTATATTGCCTTTCCCTTCACCCAATTTATCAATCACTCCTTTTGCCCTCCATTCCATACTTGGTAACTCTTGAAGATTGATTCTATCTGTAAGCCTTTCCTTAACTTTTTACAGTAGTTGTCTTATACTGTAATTGCCCTTTTGTGACTGACTTGTATCGTGCAGCTTAATTTGTTCTAGATTCATACATGTTGTGCAGTATTTCACCAATTCTTGATAGTTTTTTAGTGAGGCATCCCATTGTGTGAATATGCCATAATTTCTTTAGTCATTTACCCGAACCTCTTTATTTGAGATGTATACCTATTAGATAGATGGGTCAAATGGTATTTCTATCCCCAAGTTTGTAAGAAAACACCAAAATTTTCCATAGTGGTTGCACCATAGTACATTCCCACCAGCAGGGTATAAGCCTTCCAGTCTCTCTACACCATCACTAGCATTTATTGTTTACTACCTTAATACTCTTGTTGCCAGAGAGAGAAGATATCAGCCACTTTTAATCTAAACATAGTCAAAGAGATAGGCTTTAACATCAAAGCCTGTCATGTTACAGTTTTAAATCTTACCTGTAACTGGATTACACAGTCAATATGAATTTTTCTTTTTCCCAGGGTTTCTACACTGTTTATCGGAATGTTTTTGACATGATTGCAAAGGAAGAGCTCGAATCTGTGTTAGAAGATGAAGTTGAGGAATTTCCTACTTTTGGAGACTCTCAGAGTGATTATGATACGGTAAGAGAAAAGTGTAAAGAACAGAAAATTCATTGTCTCTTTAACTATCAGTACACATCATGGTCTTTCCCACATTTCTCTAATTTAAAATAAGCCCCGCTGTGGTTTCCACGGAGAGCAGAAGAGATAGCCACACTCACTCTTTACTCTAAAGCCCACAGAGGCTTGCCTGGTAGCTTGATGAAGTAGAAAGAGCTTTAAATTTGGGTTTGGAGTCTAGTGAGCCTCGTCCTAACTTTGCCATTTACCAGCAGTATGGCCTTGGGCCAAAATTCATTATCTTTTTATGATCAACACACATTAGAGTCTTTAACATTTCTCTGATTTAAAAAAAGTGTGGCTCTGGTTCTCAGTTGTACCCTTGGACAGTCTGTCTTCTTTCCCGAAGGTGCACTTAGCTCTTCCCAGGCTTCCTCTCTTTACTTTTTCCAATTTGTTGGTCTCGATTGCATTCTGTGGTCAATAAGGCTCTCTTCCTTTCCTCATGAATCCTTTCTGAAGGGTGATTTAGTCTGTAAAGCTTTAAAAGTACTGTCTTCTTTATTCATAAACAGTGGTATTTTGGAAAAAAGATTCAGGAAAGCAAGAAGATGATTAGCATGGTGTAGTGATAAGAATTTGTACTGCCAACTCAAAGGCAAGTAGTTTGAATCCACCAGCTGCTGCACAAGAGAAAAATGGGAAATCTTCCCTGTGATTTATAGCCTCTAAAATGTCACTGGAGGGTCATTTATATGTCATTTCCAACTCGACAGCACATAACAACAGATGTTTTGCATTGCTGATATTTGCAGTTTTTATTTTTTTAAAAAAAGATTAAAAAGTTTATTTTTGTCTCTTTCTTGTTACTAGCTAGTCCATCCTCACTGTGCTTACTGGCAGATTGAAATGTTTATTTTTGTCTCTTTCTTGTTACTAGGTAGTCCATCCTTTCTACGCTTACTGGCAGAGTTTCTGCACTCAGAAGAACTTCGCTTGGAAGGAAGAATATGATACACGACAGGCTTCAAACCGCTGGGAGAAACGAGCCATGGAAAAGGAAAACAAGAAGATCCGAGACAAAGCGAGGAAGGAGAAGAACGAACTTGTCCGCCAGCTGGTGGCTTTCATTCGGAAAAGGGACAAGAGAGTGCAGGCTCACCGGAAACTGGTGGAAGAGCAGAACGCAGAGAAGGCGAGGAAGGCGGAGGAGATGAGGCGGCAGCAGAAGCTGAAGCAGGCAAAGTGCGTCAGGCGCGGCTGGGTGTCTGCACCAGTAGATCCTTGACATGTGCCTTCATTTAGAGCTGAACCATCATTCTTATTTAAATGATAGCAGTGGATGGTTTTTTTTTTAATCTATTATGTAAACATAATGATTTTTAATTGGTTGTCCCTCTTCAGAAGCCCTTTGTAGCTAGAATCCTTTACAGACACGGATATTACTTCTCACCAGGGAACGCTGATAGGATAATTGTAAGGAGCTGAGATATCAAACTAAAGGGACGTGGTTCAGATCCACCAGCTGCTCCTCGGGAGAAAGATGAGCAGTCACCTCCCGTGTGATGTTCTGCCTCTGAAAACCTACAGGGGATCATCAGCTAGGAGCGAGTTCTGACTTGATGGCAAAAAATGAGTCTGTTTTTTGAATGTTAGTTGGATTGTGAATGCTGTACAAGGCCCGGTGAGAAGTGCTTGCTTCGCAGTGACTGTGTGAAGTACGTTACTTTAATCGTCCTTGTTCTTTTGAAAAAAACGAGACAGGTCTGGATCTCTAAGCAAATTAATTACGGAGCCCTTTGACTCCAGAACCCAGTCGTTCAGCTGCTATGTGTTGCTACCTCTTTGTCAGTCAGTCAGTTCTAGATCCTCTTGGGGGTTTTGTTTTATTACCTTTATAATGTTGTTCGAGATTTCCGTAAAAACAGTGCATCAGGAACTTCAGAGCATTCCTCAAAAATTCACTCACTCTGAAAATTCCCTCTGCTTTACTTTGCATCTTCTGAAAAGTAGCACTTAAAATTTGACTTAGAATTACCTGAAAGCCAAAAAACCAAAAATTACCTGAAAGCCTTTAAGAAGTTGCTAAGAGTTCTGTGTGTCAAAGCACATTCATTATGTTTAATCAGCTGCATACAAGGTAACAGAGTTAAGTGGCTTTCCCCAGTTTACATGGGTGTAGACATATTCATCTTGGGAGGAAGATCTTTCCTAGGGGATGGAACAAAGCCTGACAGGTAATTAGACACATCTCTGAGATGCCTGCTCAGCTTCTGCACCTTTTGCCATCGTTTCCAGGCTGGCCGAGCAGTACAAGGAGCAGAGCTGGACCGCGGTGGCTGACCTGGAGAAGGCGCTCAGGGAGATGGAGGCGCGGTACGGAAGGGAGTTTGGAGATGAATCAGATGAAGGCGAGCCCGAGGAGCAAGAGCCCAGAGACGGACAGGATGGTAACACTTTCTTTTTCCAGCCATTAATTTAGAGAATTGAGTTTATCTGTAGGCAGCACTTGCCTGCTGGTGGGTCCCAGACACGAGACAGGAGGGATTGGAAGCAAAGAAGAGAACCTGATGAGCCCTGGGGAGGCCCAGAGGAACAAGGACCAGTGTTGTCAGTGTTTGCTTCTGGCTTTAAAACTCTAGGAACTATTTCTTACTTTTCAAACATGGCCACTAAATGCAAATTAGCTGCAGTGCTGTATGAGCCATCATGCTCCTGGTCTAGTTCTGAAATTGTCTAGTTCAGATTGTTTGAGCACCTATCCAAAATCAGTTATAAATTTTACCATATCTCCAAATACGGTTTTTCAGACTCATAGCCCATGTGATAAGATGGCAGACTTTTGTTTTCTTAAAATGATCAGGATGCTGATTATTAATGATTTAGACTTTCTAAACGTACTTTGAATCCTCTTCTAAATAGACTTCACAAAAATAACTTGCAAGATAAGGTGATTTAATTACAAGTTGTCTCTTTAAGTGTACTGCTGCTTTAAAATCCTCATTTGATTTTGTGTAAAGATATTTCACAGTTTTTACTTGAGTTTGTGTGTAACTTTTACAGTTACGAATGATCGACACTAAATGCTTATTAATGAATTAGAAGTGTAGTACATGTAGAAATACTTCAAAAATTATGAAGAATTCTAGAAAAGTGAGGAGACTTAATTATGTAGAGTTTTATAATTTGTAAAGAGCTTACAAATAACATAGAAAATTCTTCCTGATCCTCACACAATACCCTTAAATCTAGTTTTAACCATGGAATTATATCCATTTTATTATTGCTGAAACTGAGACCTTGAGAGCATAGGGCCAGTGTTAGGTCTAGATTTTTACTTAACATCCAGTGTTCCTTATTAATGATAAGATTCATCCAGAATTGTTATAGTGCCACAGTGATTAAGTGCTGATCTGCTAATTGAAAGGTTGACCGTTGCCTCAGCCACCCCCTGGGAGAAAGACCAAGAAAACTTGAGGGGCATCACTGGGCTACATGAGGTTGCTGTGAGTCAGAACTGACTCAACAGAAGCAATAATGATAAAAAGTGGAAACTCTGTTTAAGTGTAAAACACAGTTGTAGATAACATTTCAACCAAAACTTGCTCAGGTCAACTAAAAAGAACTTTAGTTAAACTCCTTGCTTTCTGGTGAGCTGTTGAAGTGGGATTTGATTTTCTAAACTTATTTCATACCCCGGACTTTGAGGCTTTAAAAAAATCATCTTCTAAACAGTTTTAGGAAAAAATAACTTGGATGGTAAGGGGATAGTTGGAAATCTTTGAATGTGCTGCTGCTTCTAAATCCTGATATCATTTACTTCTGTATTAGGAAATACCACACTTTTTGCTATTAATCTGTGTATACCTTAAGCCACCATATAGACCCACACAGTTAGCTTTAGTCTTGTTTCTAATAAAACAGGATGCTTCCTCCTTCCTTCTCCTGCAGGTAAGGACAGTGATGAGGTTGAGGATGCTAAGCTCTTTGATGACCTGTACTGCCCAGCATGTGACAAGTCTTTCAAGACAGAAAAGGCGTAAGTTGAATATCTTTGAACTCCCTTTTCTTTGGGAGGTGATATGTGACACTTCTGATGGTACTAAAAAGAATTTGCTTTCCACCATTTGTTATGGCCTGTCTTCCTGGGTGATTTTTTTTGTCAGGTGGAAGGATTTATGCCAGCAGTTAAGCCTCTTGTGCTCATTCTTGTTCATCCTGGTGTTCCTCTGTCTTACCTGCCTTTCAGACCCGTGGGTTGTCTTCTGAAAGAAGTGTTGCCTGATTTGACAGAGATGGGATAGTCTAGCAAGGAGGCTAAACCACATCTAATCATCGTCCTTGTGCAGGGTCAGGCCCACTGCTGACCATAACTCTCCCAGGCAGCTCATGCCTGTCAGTCTTGGGCTTTGTGTTTGTCCTGCCTGAGGGGATATGTAGGGAGCTTTTTTTAAAAAAAAAAAAA